CAAATATCAAAAGGATTGAGCACAAGTTTCAAGAACTTAGAAAAGCCCTTTCCATACATACAAATGATAGACAAAATTTAATACAAACAAGATTGCGAAAAATAGTATATACAATAATAAATAATTTATAAGTAATAGAAGTAAAGTCAGATGAATTATATCGCAAAGCTCTATATAAAATAAGTGAAGAAGTGATAAATAAAATATAAAATTATATTTAAAACATTGAAAAATAAAGTTTAATAAATGGGATATATATGAACTGATGCATGTATAAAATGATAAAAAAAAAATGGGGGGTGGGGGTGCGAAAAAAAAAGTATTAAAAAAAAAAAAAAAAAATATAACCACCAAAAAAGCTATAGCTAATAATTTATTCTAAGACGTAACTACTAACAATAACTTTTATTTAAATCGTTTTGAAAGTTTGATATATTTGTGAACTTCAAGGAAAAGGTTTGTATTCATCTCAATTGACAATTCTGAATTGCCGCACAATAGGATATCTATATTTATCACAGAATAATTTGACAATGTATTTAATAGTTCGGCACGAACTACATCATATAAGTGACATTGCAGGAAATAGTGTTCGGCATTTTCTATAAATTTGCCACAAGAACATGTGGGATCATTCACAACGTTTATTTCATACAAATCATTTTGCAACGAACTACACTCATGCCGTATTCTAGTGTGAATAATATTTTCATGTCTATTACCTTTACAGTAGTAGATTGGCGCTTTATGAATTAAGGAACGTAATTTTTGTTTGTATAGATATTTGAAGGATTTGATGTTGGTTGATTGCTTTATGGGGTCCTCTAATAATTCCCAATCTCGAATTGTTGTGGGGAAGTACGAAGTTTGGTGTAATGTTGTTCTACAATAAGGATATCTATATTTGCTAATGTTTCTTAAATTGTATTTTTGTGGTGTTTGTTGATAATATTCTAGAATGTCATAAGTATGCTGGGTTTCTCTGATTTTTAATTTGAAAAAATGTAGTTAGTCGCTTTTGTGTACGTCTGTCTGACAATTTATTCCATCCGGTTTCAAAATAAAGCGCTTCACGAGAACAAGTTTTAGTTAGTCCAGTGACAATCCTGGCAGTTTCTAGTTGTACCTTTTCAAGTTTTTCGGTATTGGAAACGTTACACCCATCCCACACTTCACATGCGTATTCCAATTTTGGCCTAATGAATATCAAATATACGTTAGAGTTTGTCTATTAAAGGTGAATTTTAGTTTACGCAAAATATTTAATACTTTTGAGGTGGACGAGATAATAGTTTCTATATGGATGGTCCATTTGGCGTCATTTGAAAGGGTAATGCCCAAGTGTTTGTGACATTTAACCACTTCAAGTGCTTGATTATCGAATATCAGACTCGGATAATTTTCTGTTTTTTTGGAGCTAAATAAAATAGCCTTTGTTTTGTTTGGATTAAAGTTTATAAGCCAATTATTCGCCCAAATGTTGAGATTTGTCAGATAGTAGTTTAAGGACTGTTCTATCTCTGAAACTGACTGTTTGCTACATCCAAGTGTCGTGTCGTCTGCAAATAATCTAGCCACATTATGGAGTACATCTTGTACATCATTGATGTAAGTCAAAAACAAAAAGGGGCCCAAAACTGATCCCTGGGGAACTCCTGATTGAGTCCGGTCTTGGACATAACTAGACAACCACGTAATGCTTGAAACCTCATATTGACTTAATTTGTGTATCAAACCAGGTAAATATACGCGGTCAAACGATTTAGATATATCGCAAAAAACATAGCAGGAATATAGTTGCTCATCATGAAACACTTGATGATGAACAGTAGAGTAGTTCGGTCGAAACCCTGATTGGTATTTGTACAAGAGATTGTTTTCATGAAAGTAGTTAAACAGGTGTTTGAAAACTACCTTTTCTAATAATTTACTCAAAGTACTTAATAGGCTTATAGGTCGGTAGTTTGAAACTAGAGAGCTGTCTCCCTTTTTATAGAAAGGTAGGACATTTGCTTTTTTCCAAATTGTTGGAAAAACGCCCGATTCTAGTGATTTATTAAAGATATGTTTTAATGGTACACATATTGGGGTTTTGGTATATTTTAGTAACTTGTTACTAATATTATCAAATCCATTGGCTTTCTTCAATTTCAGTATACTTATAAGATCTGCGATTTTCTTTTCTTTGACTAAAGGAATATCAAGTAGACAATTTGTTCGCTCATTGAATTTTGGTAATTCTCCTTGCTGAGTGTTATTTGAAATTGATCCGAAATAGTTGTTAAGTAATTCAGCTTTATCAAAATTTGAATGAGCAATTCTTCCATTGGGGTCTAACAGTGGAGGAATATCATTTGATACATTTTGGCCTAATACTTTCCTTAAATTATTCCAGTAATTCTGGCTATTTGTATCGTTAGAATTCAAGAAATTTGTGATTTCTTCTTTGTATTTTGTTTTTAACGCTTTTTTTAAAAATTATTTACTTTATTTCTTTGAACGGTTGTTAAAATCGGAAAAAAAATTGTGACCTCTAGAGAATCCGCAAGCTAAAAATGCGATTTTTCGAACAATCAGGAGCCATAATCCAGGAAGTTAAGTTCGGGTATCCGCGATTATCAAAAGGAACCAATATCTTAGTGTGTAATGGTGATATATTCACACGTTGGTTTTTAAATCAGATAAAAATTGTGACCTCTACAGCGACCACAAGCTAAAAACGTGATTTTTTGTTCAATCAAGGGTCATAATTCAGGAAGTTACGGTCCGATATGCACGAATATCGACAGGAACCGAGATCTTTGGGTTATAAACTTACATTTCAAGTTTCAACAAAATCGGATAAAAATTGTGACCCCTATAGCGGGTCCACAACCTTGATATACCATATTCTTACGCTATTTGGGAACGAATGGCGGCCATTTTGTCTGTCAATTTTGGGCCGATTTTCACGAAATTCGAACTCAGTCATTCTTAGGGTGTAACGGTGATATAATAGAACGGTTTTTTAATCGGATAACAATTATGACTTCTATAGGGTCCACAAGCTAAAAACGTGATTTTTCGTACAATCAGGGGCCATAATTCAGGAAGTTACTGTCGGATATGCGCAAATATCGAAAGGAACTGAGATCTTTGGGTTATAAACTTACATTTCAAGTTTCAACAAAATCGGATAAAAATTGTGACCTCTATAGGGTCCACAAGCTAAAAACGTGATTTTTCGTACAAACAGGGGCCATAATCCATGAAGTTTCGATCCGATACATGCCAATATCGAAAGCAGCCGAGATCTTTTGGGGATAAACCTATATTTCAAGTTTCGTCGAAATCGGATAAGAATTGTGACCTGTAGAGAATCCACAAACAATTGTGGACGGACGGACGGACGTCCGGACGGACAGGGGCGACGGCATAATACGTCCACATGAAAATGTGGGCGTATAAAAACTAATTAAGAACTTTTAATTAGTTTTTATTGCTTCTGTCTTATACTCAATGTTAACTGTGGGTTTATAGCACAGGTGGAATGTCTTAAACAATAACCAAATACGGTCAGGGTAATTAGAGAGAGAGAGAAATGGGGTTTAACGTCCACTCGACACAAACTAGGTCATTTCGGGACTAACACATGGTTTAATTTTATTTCTATAATTCGCTTGTGCGTAGGGGTCTTTAGCAGTGGGAGGAAACCGGAGGACCCGGAGAAAACCCACGAGGTTGGACAGGCGACCCTACTCCTTGTCACGTACAACCGGGGATTCGAAACCACGCCAGTCGACTCAATGACAGACTTTATGATACAGCGCGCGCACGCTAACCATTCAGCCATACAACCCCCCCGGTCAGGGTAATTAATTGAAGATGATTCGTTAATGAGATGAAACTGTTCACTGTTAACAGATAATACTAAAGTTTTAACGTCCACTCGACACAAACTAGGTCATTTCGGGACTAACACATGGTTCAATTTTATTTCAATAATTCGCTTGCGCGTAGGGGTCTTTAGCAGTGGGAAGAAACCGGAGGACCCGGAGAAAACCCACGAGGTTGGACAGGCGACCCTATTCCTTGTCACGTACAACCGGGTATTCATTCGAAACCACGCCAGTTGACTCAATGACAGGCCTTATGATACAGCACGCACGTGCTAACCATTCCACCATCCAACCCCCCAGGAAATAAATATGAAATGAAATGGGGTTTAAAGTCCTACTCCGAACTGAGCTAATGAAGACGGGCATACACCATACAGTGTGCTATGAGGGAAATTTTGCCCGGACAGCGGCACTACGGCCTACATATCGAATTCCAACTCTCAAGGGATTTTTAACGTGCACGCCAATGTGTACACGGGACCTCGGTTTTTTGTCCCATCCGAACGACTAGACAGCTGTCCTTGTTAGGCCCTCTGTCCTGCATTACTGACAATGCAGGGATCGAACAGGCTAGCGAGCCAGCGTCTTACCCAATTAGCCACCGTGACCCCCCAGGAAATAAATATAAATACAACATTAACATTATTGGCCGTTTACTATGGATGGAATATTTGAAAGTCAAATTAAGTATTGGAGAATGGGAAATAAATATAAATATTAAAATCGATGAATGAATAGATCGTCCGATTTGTTGTTTTAGACTATAATTCAATATGTTGTTGGACACAAGGAGTGAAGGACTGCATATACATATAGGCCTATATTGGTCATATTCTTCACACTTATGTTATGAAGCAATAACTGTTTTCAAATTCAATAAAAAAAATCGACGATCATGTTTGATCCGACTCCCTTTTCTATATTCATCACTTTTACATTTTAGGATTAGGGTTAGGGTCAGGTATTTAAGATAAAAAAACCTATAAGTTCGGGGTTAGGGGTTGAAGATTAAAACCAATGAGTAAGACAAAATCTTCAACAATCAATGAATTAATATTGAGACACAAAAATGGCAGTCACATCGATCAAACATGAATGCCTAAAAAAAAATCAGATACTTACCGTGTGAAATCGTGATCGAACCAATAAAGATAAGAAATATAAATATTTTCATGTCTGTCTTCAAGTATGTTGTGTAAGAGAAAGCAGAAAGTTGCCACCGTACAAGCTAAGATCTTTGAAGCTGTAACAACAAATTATGTCACATGGATGGTGGCGCGAGATACATTCCCGTTGCACGTGTTTTCCTATATGACGTATAATAACCACTGTCATTATCCAATCGATTTGTTAATACGAAATCAATTTAAAAACCTCCAAAGACGACGAACAAACAATACATTAAAAGATTAAAGATACATTGTGGGAGATTAGATAAATAGCTGGCAGTTCACACATAATGTAAAGGGAATTTGCTGAAAATTTAAGTCAAATTTATTCACTCTGGGGCCTGTGTCACGAAATTTTAGTAATTTGATTGGATAATATAAGACTGATTTTGGTGCTTAGCCAATCAAAATTGAAGTATCTACTAAAACGTGGATTTTAACTTTAGTTAAGATTTCGAGAGACAAGGCCCTAGCTGAACAGAGATTTTAGCGATTGAATTTTCGGCCTAGCCTTGATCATCATTACTAAAGTCGGTACGATAAAAAAAAAAACTCTCGAGTATCCATTTCATACTGTTCTGCTCCGAACTGGGCTCATGAAGAAGGGCATACGCCATAGGCCTACAGTGTGCTATGAGAGAAATTGTAGGCCTACCGGGGCAGCGGCACTACGGCCGCATCGAGAGTTGATTATGGTCTTGGTAAGAATGTCTAATTAATAATTTAGATAACATTTCAGGCAGATTTAGCTCTTGCATAATGTATGACATTCCTAACTTCAGTAAACCTTATGTACATAATTTTAATTCATAATAGAGAAGGTAGTTAACCTTACTGCATTTTTTTTTTTTTTTCATTGTTGTTCTTGTTGTTCTTATATTGTTTTGTTACGTTTCAAGGGCAGAATTGTAAAAGGGCCTGGCCTAATTTCTTACCCTAATAAAGATATTATTATTATTATTATTAAACTGTCGTATAACTTGGACTTTTTCATTAGCGTCCACATTTAAAGTGACCGTGTTGTCTTTCTTCATAACCTTTCAAAAGAATGGAAATGAAATGAAATGGGGTATAACTTTTTGCCGTAACTGGGCTAATGAAGTCGGGCACACGCCATGCAATGTGCAGTTAAGGAAATTTTGCCCGAACAGCGCCGTTTCCGCCTAGGGCCTAGGCTAGGCTACTCTTCTTAAAATTCTAACTGCCAAGGATTCTTTAACGTGCATGTTTTTCTTTCGTCCCATCCGTACAACTAGGCGCTTGTCGTTTACAGACTCTCCGTCCCACACAACGGACGAGGGGCACCAGGGTGGTAAATCTCTTGACAAACCCTGGAATCGACCCCAAGACCGCCAGTGCCGGCGCAAGTCGCCGGTGGTAGGAGGGGCAAAGCTGGGGCAAAGTCCAAGGTTAAGGGGGTAAAGGCGTGAGCTTCAACTAGGAGTATAGCGGACCTTCCCCAGAAATTTTTGAAAAAATTGACAACCGGAAATGCAGTCTGGTGGTATTTCAGGCACTGATCGTGGAGATAAATAGATCTGTCCAGATACCGCCTGACGACTAGTGTATCCGCCCATGAAAGGAAACGAACGGACTTGCGAACCTCACCGAAGCCCTCGAAATGCAATCTGGCAGCATTTCAGGCACTGTTCGTCAAGATAAATAGAGCTTACCAGATACCGTCTGACGACAAATCACTAGTTTATCCGACCAGAGAGGAAAGTTTTATTCGGAGTAGTACCTAAATAGGGATTGGGGAACAGACATAGCCTATATTAAACCCCTCTCCCTTATAGATAATAGTGAGTTAGCCTTTACCAACTTGTAGCCATTCTGAACTTCGGGCCCCGCTACCATACGGAGAAAACAATTATAGACTAGTAATATAGACTAGGATTGAATTACACTGTGTTATAATGACACCGTGTCTTTCATATTGTTTTAACAATATTATATTCCACATAACAAAAAATAAATGTAACTTACATTTTAACAGTCATTATCATAGGCGCACGAGAGCTTGAAGGGTGGGATGTAGAAATGGAAGTGTCCTAAAAAATTTCTGTGCGGAAAGCACGACGTTGGACCATATAGAACCCAAACCTTTTGTTCCGAAGATCTTGCAGGACTTCGATTTTTGTCTGCATCAGGCTGTAACTTCTTGGGTTGTGACCCTTGCCATTCACGCGAAATGTACGAAGTTTGTAGACCCTATAGAACCAGCAATTTTTGTCAGTACAATCTGGAAGACAACCATCTTGAAAATGGCCGCCATCTTCAATTTATTTTCTAGTGGCTAATGGGATTTTTCAAAAGAGTATCCTTAGGGAGTATTTGTGCCAATTTTGATCAACATTAATTGAACGATTTTAGCCCCTTTTTTAAACGCAGTTAGCTGCTGTACTATTATAATATTGCCTGTTGAAAACATCTGTTATATAGCAAATGGACCACACACTCTTTCAACATCGAAATGTGCCTGGCAACTAAGGTATAAAGTATACCAAACGCTTTAGCTAAAGGTCCATAAATTAAAAATACCTTATACCCAAGGTGAAAATTAAGACCTAACATGTAAAATTATCTCTAATTTTGTCATTTTTTTATGTATATAAATTTTGGATATGATCTGTAGAATATGCATGATACGGATACATGTCTTTAAGTGAATAGATACATGTTCCAACCTCGTGGGGTTTTTCCGGGTCCTCCGGTTTCCTCCCACTGCTAAAGAACCCTACGCGCAAGCAAATTTTTGAAATAAAATTGAACCATGTTAGTCCCGAAATAACATAGTTTGTGTCGAGTGGACGTTAAACTCTCTCTCTCCCTCTTCTATCTCTCATATTAAGTGCAGGGGTACTGTATACATGTATATTTCACATACAAAAAAACAATGGTTTATTCAGACATGCGTGGGCCCTTACCTTACAACCTGTCCATAACATTAATTTCCATTCCCTGGAATCTGAATCTAAGTTACATGACATATCCACCTACATGAATCACAGAATTATTCTAGTCTGCGTTTTATAAAGATACTAAACAGCAAAAAAAAAAAACCCCAAAAAACGTCAGTACGATTTCAAAATCAGAGAGGCACTTTAATCAAATTATTCTAGAAAGCGACTTAGTAAATGGATCAAAGCAATTTTCTGTGAACAGTATGTTGACACATTCGTGATTAATTCATCACAATTCCAAGACATTACGATAAGGGTCAGAGTCTGTACACAGTCTATACATCAGTATCTGGTGTGTCCACCGCCACGGCCGCAGATCTTATCAAATTTTAGGGGGGGGGGGGGTGGCGGGCGGAGAGAAGGGTCAGAGTCTGTACACAGTCTATACATCAGTATCTGGTGTGTCCAACGCCACGGCCGCAGATCTGATTAAATTTTAGGGGGGGGGGGCAGGTGGCGCGAACCGTTCTGCGGCGGGTCTACCCCCCCCCCTCAGAAAATTTTGAAAGCAGGATGCCTGAAAACGCTATCTGAGACCATTCTGAGCATTCTGCAGAGATGAACGTACCGAGAATAAATTGTCGTTTTTGAGCGAGAATAATCAATAACTACACAAATAAGGGATGAGGAATATTCTTTATTTCATCATAATGAATAATTTCAGCCGACAGGCCGTCATCAAATACCAACATATTATAATATCAGGCTGTAACTTCTTGGGTTGTGACCCTTGCCATTCACGCGAAATGTACGAAGTTTGTAGACCCTATAGAACCAGCAATTTTTGTCAGTACAATCTGGAAGACAACATCTTGAAAATGGCCGCCATCTTCAATTTATTTTCGAGTGGCTAATGGGATTTTTCAAAAGAGTATCCTTAGGGAGTATTTGTGCCAATTTTGATCAATATTAATTGAACGATTTTAGCCCCTTTTTTAAACGCAGTTAGCTGCTGTACTATTATAATATTGCCTGTTGAAAACATCTGTTATATAGCAAATGGACCACATCGAAATGTGCCTGGCAACTAAGGTATAAAGTATACCAAACGCTTTAGCTAAAGGTCCATAAATTAAAAATACCTTATACCCAAGGTGAAAATTAAGACCTAACACGTAAAATTATCTCTAATTTTGTCATTTTTTTATGTATATAAATTTTGGATATGATCTGTAGAATATGCATGATACGGATACATGTCTTTAAGTGAATAGATACATGTTCCAACCTCGTGGGGTTTTTCCGGGTCCTCCGGTTTCCTCCCACTGCTAACGAACCCTAAGCGCAAGCAAATTTTTGAAATAAAATTGAACCATGTTAGTCCCGAAATAACATAGTTTGTGTCGAGTGGACGTTAAACTCTCTCTCTCCCTCTTCTATCTCTCATATTAAGTGCAGGGGTACTGTATACATGTATATTTCACATACAAAAAAACAATGGTTTATTCAGACATGCGTGGGCCCTTACCTTACAACCTGTCCATAACATTAATTTCCATTCCCTGGAATCTGAATCTAAGTTACATGACATATCCACCTACATGAATCACAGAATTATTCTAGTCTGCGTTTTATAGAGATACTAAACAGCAAAAAAAAAACCCCAAAAAACGTCCGTTATTCAAAATCAGAGAGGCACTTTAATCAAATTATTCTAGAAAGCGACTTAGTAAATGGATCAAAGCAATTTTCTGTGAACAGTATGTTGACACATTCGTGATTAATTCATCACAATTCCAAGACATTACGAGAAGGGTCAGAGTCTGTACACAGTCTATACATCAGTATCTGGTGTGTCCACCGCCACGGCCGCAGATCTTATTAAATTTTAGGGGGGGGGGGGGAGGTGGCGGGCGGAGAGAAGGGTCAGAGTCTGTACACAGTCTATACATCAGTATCTGGTGTGTCCAACGCCACGGCCGCAGATCTGATTAAATTTTAGGGGGGGGGGGGCGAGGTGGCGCGAACCGGTCTGCGGCGGGTCTACCCCCCCCCCCCTCAGAAAATTTTGAAAGCAGGATGCCTGAAAACGCTATCTGAGACCATTCTGAGCATTCTGCAGAGATGAACGTACCGAGAATAAATTGTCGTTTTTGAGCGAGAATAATCAATAACTACACAAATAAGGGATGAGGAATATTCTTTATTTCATCATAATGAATAATTTCAGCCGACAGGCCGTCATCAAATACCAACATATTATAATATAATTATCAATAAAATATGTAGTTTAAACTCGTTGAGTGTAATTCTAAAAATATGAAATTTCTATAATCGTTCGTTTCAATTTATGCTGAGGTCATGAAGAGATCATTCTCAGATCTGGGTTACATCAAAGACCGGGCATTTTTGAACCAGGGGGAAATATCCTCAGCCTGAAAATAGGACTCAAGTTTTGGGAGACGCTGACAGAGTACGGCGGGCGAAGGCATATGCCACGTGCGCTACAGGCGCGCATTTAGCGGGGGTCTTGGTGCCTCCCCTGAAGATTTTTTAAAATTAGGATGCCTCAAAATGCTATCTGTGACCATTTCTGGGCATTGTACATCGGCATGTTCGGAAATATAGGCTACATTTCCCGGGCTAAAAATAAGACCTTTGAAATTTTATCGATGTATTTTTTTTTGGGGGGGGGGAGGGACGAGGCATATGAAATCCCCCCCCCCCTCAGTGAAAATCTAGAGGGGACGCGTCCCACCCCCCATACCCCCCGGGATCTGCGGCCTTGTCCACCGCGAGTGTCTATAACAGCAGCGCAGCGTCTGTACATGGAGTGGACCAGGCGATTGATGAACGCCATTGGCACCTGGAACAACACTCTCAGAAAAGCCTGGCGCAATCCATCGTCTGTGTTTGGTCTTGGCACGACGTTATTAGGTCTCTTCTGAATTTCATCCCAAAGATGTTTAATCGGGTTTAAGTCCGGACTAAGGGCTGGCCAGTGCATAACGTGGACAAGGTTCTGCTGTAGAAATTCCCGAGTAACTCTGGCGGTGTGGGCACGGGCGTTGTAATGCTGGAAAACGTTGTTTCGATGACGTGCGAAATGTGGTATGATATGGGGTCTGGGAGCTTGATCGATGTAGCGCACTGCTGTGATGCCGCCTCCTCTCCCTAGACCAAGATTTTGGAACACCACAGGACACACTCTTTGCTTCAGGCCGATTCCAGCTCAAACAATTATGCTTGGACCTCCCCATGAGTCTCGTTCCATGACACTTTGGTTAGAATAAGAATAACGCTGGCCACGTCGACGCCATATTCTGGTCCTGCCATCTGCAGTTGATACGCAATACCGACTCTGTGAACAGAACAGTTCTCCATTGCCTTTGTCGCCAGTTCTGGTGTTGTTGGGCAAACTGAAGACGTTCACTTCGATGGCGAGGGGTGAGGATCGGTCCACGGTAAGGTCTACGGCTGGTGAAACGTCGGCGCACTGTATCGGTGCTGATGGGTCTTCCGTGTGTTCCCACTGTCTCAAATGCCTGTATGGAGGGATTCTGCACGTGCTGTCGCACAACATGGTGGTCTTGTCGCCTTGTGGTAATCCTTGGTCTACCAGTTCGGGGGCGATCATCCGTGGTGTTGGTGGTTCGAAAGCGTTGCTGAAGCCTGTAGATGGTCCGAACATTGATCTGGAACGGATTGGCAACGGCTTGGACAGTGTGGCCAGCGTCTGGTTCCTCTGAGCTGTCGTGAGTCGTGGCATGCTGCTGACGTTGTTGTGTGAATGATTCATCCGATACGGTGTGCATTTTATAGGGCTGGTTCCGGTAAACAGCACGTCCAACATGAATTACATGAAAATCATGGAGAACACATTAGTCTACCATCTCAGAAGTCAGGTTGCGTTTTTGAGAACATTTCCTGGGTTCAGTTCTGTGTTTGGGAAGGAGTCTTATTGCTCAGGTAAAGTTGGAGATGTGGTCACAAATATACAATAAAAATATTTGGCAAGTTTTATGCAATGCGTCTGTTTAACATACAAATCTGACGTTTCTTTTGCTGCTTAGTTGGTATTACGTAGCTTACGTATTACGTACCCCACACTGTTCAAATTCCCGAACACGGCCGTGGCTAATGGCTACTGAAATTGTTAATGCAGACTGGCCTACCCATACTACTGTGCTGAGAGAAACTTGGTACCGACAGTGGCATTTCTGACTCCTAGTAGTGTTTCGTTTGATTAGACCTAATCTCAGAGGGATTTCTCGGGCCATTGTAGTACTACTTACTTCCTTATTTGTTGTGTTCCTTGTGATCGTAAATAATACTACAGCAACAATGATTTCACAGCTTTATTAGTAAACTGGAAATAACTTTGCAGGTTCCTCGTTCTCAATTATATAATGGCTTCTTGGAATAATCTGGTGAGAGTCTAATCCAGCTCTCCTCTACACCCTAATTTATACCCCCCAATTTCTGCAGGTCTTCGATAACCTTGACGTGAATTTCCACTCCATATAAGGAATAAAACTCTTTATTTCCCACCAATAAGATAGGAAACATTACCTATTTTTGGTCAACCGACCATAGGTCAATAAACAGCTAGAATTTGATGACTATTTTGACAATGATTATAATTTAACTAAAACATCACTGTTTTTTACGAACAACTATATCCACGTTCATTTAGTACTGTGTGATTTGACTTTATAAACAAAATTGAAGAGACAATTTTATAAAGAGCCAAAATTGTCTCAAGGGCCAACGTGCTACACCATTGCTTCAGGAATATCCATGCAGATTGGCATAGCCATACACTGTGCTATGAGAGAAACTTGGTTCCGACAGTGGCATTTTTGACACCTTTTCATGGAAGCATTCTTTTAGGTGTACGGCATACGCTAACGTGTTCATGTGAACTCGAATTTAGTACCATATGAATGATGTTGTTTCTTGCCAGGTTGAAAAATCATAAGAAATTTTATCGCCCAACAACGGAAACGAAACCCAGACCTCCTGGTTTGTGAGCCAGGCACTGTTGTTCCCCATAATGGGAGAGAGAGAGAGAGAGAGATGGGGTTTAACATCCACTCGACATAAACTAGGTCATTTCTGGACTAACACATGATTCAATTTTATTTCAATAATTCACTTGCACGTAGGGGTCTTTAGCAGTGGGAGGAAACCGGAGGACCCGGAGAAAACCTTGTCCTCCGGAGAAAACCTACGAGGTTGGACAGGCAATCATACTCCTTGTCACGTACAACCGGGAATCGAAACCATGCCAATTGACTCAATGACAGACCCTGACCATTCGACCATCCAACCCCCCTCCCCATATTGGCTACTACTTTAGATTGTCAAAAAGACTTTGACAACAATCATTTGGCATCCCAAGAATGACCACAAAGTTGAATTCATGACTTAAAAAAAATAAAACAAAAATTAGTTAGAATGTATTTTTAATAAGAAATTGGATAAACATAAATGGATTTTATATAATACTTTTCTACAAACAAAAGTAAAACCTGTTGTCATTATTACTCTATTAACACTGGTATAAAAACAAACATATTTTTTTTTTAATAGAAAACGTTTAACATACATAAATAACTTGTTATTTATCTACATTAACAGAACTGGGGCTTTATTCATAAAAAAAAAAACTTTAACTAAAATATTTTAAGGATACATTATTGGAGATTAGATAAAAGAAAGCTGGCAGTTCTCACTATAATAGTTAAAAACTAGACTAGATAATGTAAAGGGAATTTGCTGAAAATTTCAGTCAAATTGATCCACCCTGAACCGAGAATTTAGCAATTGAATTTTCGGCCTAGCCTTAATCATCATTACTAAAGTCGGTACGGTACATAAAAAAACATAGTCTCGATTATCCATTTTTTGATTTAATCATGAATGAGCGTTGAACAGCAGATTCTATTCAAATCCAGTAAATATTGCAAGCTAGCGATGACATCCATCGAGAGTTGATTAATTAATGTCTAATTAATAATTTAGGTAACATTTCAGGCTTAAAGAAAGACCTGCAATAGACAGATTTAGCTCTTGCATAATGTATGTTTAAGAGAGAGAGAAATGTGGTTTAACGTCCACTCGACACAAACTAGGTCATTTTGGGACTAATTGGTTCAATTTTATTTCAATAATTCGTTTGCGCGTAGGGGTCTTTAGCAGTGGGAGGAAACCGTAGGACCCGGAGAAAACCCACGAGGTTGGTGTATGGTTAAGAATACTGATGATTCATTAGTTGAGTATTAAAATCATGGCACAACTTTTCGCTCTTGGCCAATAAAAAAGCTGATTCCTAAAATATTTTAGTTCAAGTTTTCTTGAATATGGCTCCTGGATAATTATATATGATGTCATAAAACATTTACAAGATTCTTCTCAGTTATTTATCCCAAATAAAAAAAAGGTTATATTCCATAATTTTTGTTATTTATCCAAATTAAACAAGCCAACAGTGAGGCTGATGTCCCCCGCCGAAATTGCAAAATAAATAGATGACACATATTAATTAATCGCACATTTATTTTTTTCACTAAGTTTCATCACTCTCTATCAGATAGAATCAAGATTATCATGTCCCAAACCATCGACAAATGAAATCGATTAGCTCTGCTTAGCTTCAGCTCGAAATGTTAATTATTGAACTCAGTCAAGACATTCACCTAATGAACATCTACATATACATCAAGTTTAAACATTCACCTAATAGACACCTATGCCAAGTTTGAACATTCTACCTCAATTAGAAGGAGAGTTATTGTGTTCCAAAGTTTCTACCAATCAAATTGCTTATCACTCTGCTTACCCTCAGCAAAAAATGTTCATTATCGAACTTAGTTAAGGTATTCATATAATAAATCTATACACCAAGTTTCATCAATCTCACTTAATTAGAACTAAAGTTATCGTGTCCCAAAGCATCAACCAATCAAATTATTTATCTCTGCTTACCCTAAGCGGAAAATGCTCATCTTCGAACTCCATCAAGGCATTGACCTAATCAACACATACACCAAGTTTGAACATTCTAGCTCAATTAGGAAGAGAGTTATCGTGCCCCAAAGTATCAACCAATCAAATTGCTTATCTCTGCTTACCCTAAGCGGAAAATGCTCATCTTCGAACTCCATCAAGGCATTGACCTAATAAACACATACACCAAGTTTGAACATTCTAGCTCAATTAAAAGTTATCGTGTCCCAAAGCATCAACCAATCAAATTGCTTATCTCTGCTTACCCTAAGCGGAAAATGCTCATCTTCGAACTCCATCAAGGCATTGACCTAATCAACACATACACCAAGTTTGAACATTCTAGCCCAATTAGGAAGAGAGTTATCGTGTCCCAAAGCATCAACCAATCAAATTGCTTATCTCTGCTTACCCTAAGCGGAAAATGCTCATCTTCGAACTCCATCAAGGCATTGACCTAATAAACACATACACCAAGTTTGAACATTCTAGCTCAATTAGGAAGAGAGTTATTGTGTCCCAAAAAGTGTGACGGACAGACAGACGGACGGACAGACAGACGGACAGACAGACGGACGAACCCATTTTAATAGTCCCCTGCTTTCTTCGAAAGGCGGGGGACAAAAAGTTATATTCCACAATTGTCTTATTTATCCAAAATAAAAAAAATATATATTCCATGATTGTTGTTATTTTTCCAAAATAAAAGTTATTTCACCATCGTCTTATTTATTCTTGATTGTCACGTATATTTTCCTGCATGATTATTTGTGATCGAGTTTTGAAAGAAATTAAACAAAGCAATTTGGTCTGAACTGAAATATGGAAATTTATGTTATTGAAGTTTTCCTCATAATTATTCAAAGTTGAATAATGGGAATAAATTTCAAGATGTCTTTAGATTGTTTTTTGACCTCTGGGTTAGTTTTATGATCTTGAAAAAAAAAAAATGTTTGAGATGAGACAATACAAAACAAAGAGAATATATAATGTACACGTCTTTAGACTTGAGCAACAAGTCATGATCTTAATGGAATTCAGCTCAGCACGATCATGAAATTGTAATGTCTCCTTTTTTTTTGGAAAATTTCTTACATGAAATGAATTGGAATAATCAGTCATAAAAAAATATCAAAAGTCAATATGGCGGAAGCAACAATAATTTTGACAATGTTTGCACAATATGAACGTAAAATAAATTTGTCAAAAAAGTAGATAATCCATGTAGGCAACATTATTCCGTTTTGAAAGAAAGTTTTGATCTCTTTGACTCTCAAACTATTCCACATGCTCTTCAGATCTCTAATGAAATATCCTTTGAAAAATAAAGTTGTTCTACATATTTGATCAAACAAAAAAACCTGGTTGTCAGGCTACAAAACTACCATGCAAATGAAATTTAGATTTCAACAGTTTCCTAAATCCTAATAAAATTACCACATGCATATATAAAAAGCTGTTACGACCAAGTCTATGGCTCCGAGCAACAATGCTTAAACAATTAAAGCATAAAATATCAATTTTTACACGATCTAGAATTCTGAGTTGAGCAGAACTCCAACATGAACATTTCCATAGGACGGTAGTATATCTATATATATATAAATGTACATTACACTATTTAAAACATAATAATGGCTATTCGTGACTGAAAACATTATCGTTGTGTAGTACCAGGCAAGGGCAGATCTAGTAAGGGGGCGCACTCGGCGTACGCCCCCCACCCCCCATCTTGATGCAGGGGTCGCACTGGTCGTAATGTACAAGGAGAGCTATGATTTAAACCAGTAGTTCTCGTGTCTGGGACCAGGTCGCGTCTGTTGCGCAAGTAAGCGCGATTACGATCCCCAGGCCAGTGTCCCCGCCCTATCCATGGTCTCTGGATCCGCCCTTGCCATGATCTTGATTACAGAGTGATAACTATAGAATCAAGACTGGTATGAGCCACAACATTACTTAACTTTAAGTTTAAAGATGTATCACGTAAGATTTAGATAAAGAGCTGTCTATTCTTGCTATAATAGTTTAAAAATAGAAAATTAATATATTGAAAAGCTCATTAAAATTACTTTATTCTGAGCAAAGTTAAGAGTGTTGGAAGATGTAGGATAGATTGTTTATTACCATAGTAACGGTACTGGACAAACAAGACTAAGTCTTGATTATCCACTTTTTTTTATCGTTAAATTTTTAAATCTTGTCAGCATTTTAATCCATTTAAATCTCCACCATCCGATGTTCTAGAGAGTTGATTAGAGGCTTGTCATGTGAATAAATGTCTAAATAATAGATTATATAACATTTGAAACCAAAATAAAGACCTGCAATAGACAGAATTAACTCTTACATAATGCATCTTTAAATCTTCAGAAAAGAAGAATTTTAATAACCTACATAATATGTAATTATGGTTTAAATTGGTTTTAGTAAAGTTTTTTTAGTCCGTGTATAATTGCATCTTATGTTAGAAAATACATAACTATACAAAACATTTAGGCCTATATCTTATGATAGAAAATACATATCTATACATAACATTTAGGCCTATATCTTATGTTAGAAAATACATAACTATACGTAACATTTAGGCCTATATCTTATGGTAGAAAATACAAATTGTTTGGTTCTGAAAATATATCCAGAATTCAAAAACAGATGTTTAAAAGAAAAATATATATCCAAAGTAAAATTTAAGAGTGATGTATTAGTACGGGGAAATCAAGGTGTAAATTAATACATGCATACCTTTGATTGCCCCAATAAATATTAATATTTTTGTTTCTTGTCATTGCACTATTGGGTAAGATAAACAATCTGATTAAAATACAGATCTATATTTCATTTCGTTTTTTTTTATACTTTCCATGGCCTCTACTACATAAAGATCTGACCAGTTGTTTTGGGAGGTCGCGTCAGAGGTCATACGAGCAACTTTTGACCCTATGATGGCAAACATTTGTTTAACCAATCAGCTTTGATGTTTCTAGTGGATAACCCACAGTTCCGTTCTACGAAAAAGCTTGCCGTAACAGACCCTTTCATTGGCTAATCCCTCACATCATCCAGAACACGTCAATAATAACAACTCTTCCAGATCCTAGTGTAGTAAAGATGAGTAAAATGAAATTTTGAACCATAAAATAACGAAATGAAATAGGATCTTTCTTTTAATCAGATGGATTCGATAAATAGGCCAGCCTCCAAATCGGAACCTAACAATTTGTTGAGGCCATAATACTGTACATAAAGTAATAAATGCTAGGATTTTTATTTTACTTAATATGTTAATCACCCCTCGAAATAATCTTACAAAATACTAGGTAATAAGCAAATATTTTCAAAAAATGCTTTTAGTTTCATGCAATTAAGACTTTGGTCCAAAAATAATTTTCCAGACAATAAAAGATACACCCACAGCAACTAACTCGACTGAATAGTTCCTAAAATTATAAATCTTTATATTGAAACGTTGTTGGAACCTGTAATTTTCTTTAGATAAATAAAACAAAAAAATCTTTATATTGTACGTCATTTGAAATGAAATGAAATGGGGTTTAATGTCCTACTGTTCTGCTCCTATACTGGGCTAATGAAGATGGGCATACACCATACAGTTTGCTATGAGGGAAATACTGCTCGGACAGTGGCACTACAGCCCACTCTTATTTTGAATTCCAATTGTCAAGGATTCTTTTGCGTGCACGCCCACATGTACACAGGACCACGGTTTGTCATCTCATCCGAATGACTACAGACACTGACCCTTGTCAGGCCCTCTATCCTGCAAAACTGACATGGGGGGAAATCATGCCCGATAATCTCGTGAAACTTTCTCGACCACCACAGGGAGCAATATTATCATTGGAGCATTGGTGGAAATTGTTGTAATTTTCTAGACTTATTCCTTGAAATAATCAAAGCAAAGAACACAAATCTATAGTAAATTGTGACGTTTGCTGTTATAACATTCATAAGATTTTAAAAAATAAGTAAGAGCCATAACTCTAGAAGCAATTAACGTAAGTTTCTAAAATTCAATTTTTTAAACGTAGAGCATTTACAAGAAATTGTAGACGATGGACAGACAGGGACGATGACAATTTACAACCACATTCATATGTAGGTTTATAAAAATAAAAAAATCTTGGAAGTCCTTTTTGCATAATTCTGTACGGATTCAAAAAGGGGAAGTAAAAAATACACAATTTAGAGAACCCTAGTTCTGTTACAAAATTCAAGTAGCCTATTATTATTAACCCTCTAAACATGTAAACGATCTTCAAATTTTGTTCGTACTGAAAAATAAAAAATTAAAAGTTCTTGTGGTAACACCCTAACTGATTTGAGGTTCCAATTTCTATCCACTGGAATCCTAGAAATTGTTTTTGAGATTTTTCAGAAAAAAAATCACATATTGGACTGTCGTGTTAATTATCTTCTTCTCAATCTCAGCTCCATAGATGTTAAAAAGTTTGGATTCAGAACACAGTTGGTTAAATTTTCTCTTGAAATAGGTAGTCTCTACCTTGAGAAGAGGAAACCTCTTCTTTGAACATACATTACATACAGAACAATAAAAGCATTCCATTTAAAAAACTTAAGACTATAAAGTTTGTCCTTTTTCTACAATTTACATCCCACATGACGTTTGTATTTCACATAGTAAAACTGATGTCCTTTCGTACACATTGTCTAGTATATTTGAACATCAAGACGCACAGATGAATATATAATGTATATGGACAGGTGTAGACTAGAACACTATATGGTGGGTTCAGTCGGTGGTTTAAGCAGTATATATACAAAAAGATAAAGTAATCACAGCAGGAGAATGGTGTAAGGCAGCTACACGTTAAAAGTTAAAATCTTCAAGTAACGTCACCGTAAAGCCGTAGTACCATCTTTACACACTAACAACTGTAAACCTGAAGCTGAAAGTAGAAAATAAATTTATAATTTTTAAATGAAATATATATGTATGGTCTCTAAGACTGGAAATAAGGCACCTGTCACAGACAATGTCAGTCACAGATTCAAGCATTGTCAGGCACAAAACCTTTGGTGCCTGTCATTTTGTCCAGCACTGATTTGTCTTTTTTATTGATATTATTAATACATGTCCGGCACTAAGTTCAAAATGTCAGGTACTATTTCATTAGGGCCTGACAATTTGTCAGGTACATCTAAAACCGTTATTTCCAGGCCTGATGGCCTCATGACAATTTAAATACTTTAATAGACATCATCAAAATTGACAAGATAATCTCTCGGACAAGACCCATAGACATTGCAAACAACAAACGTATTAAATCAAGTGAATGGATCCGGGGATCAGCTGCAAGTGTCCACCGCACTGTACAGGCCTGAGCCGGTAAGGATGCAAAGATTTCATTGGTTGAGGGTTAACATGTTGCTACACACTTCTAGAAGAAGGATTAAGTCCTGTCTGAACAAAGTGATCAAGGGAAATAACTTTGAAAGTAACTACTAGAAAGCGCTGAGCTACTTTGTCTGCATATAGACAATGGAAATAGGTCTTAAAAAATCATAACCCCAAGGGTATCCATCTGTGAACTGACACGTACATACGCACATGTGAGTTTTGTTTACTTTAAACGTTGAATTTAGTGCATATTCTAGTGACGTCACAAGAAACATGCTATCATAAATCCTCGCGCCCTCGGGCTATATATTCATATAATTCTTCTCATATAATATAGACTTACACTCTTCTGTATGAATTAGACCTAAATCTGTACTTTGTAGTAATTCTTCTACTAAATCTTCAGCATCTACCCTAGTCATACCAACACGTCTTTCTTTTTCACTGTCATCTTGTTTCTATAGTAACACAAAAATAATAAAACATGATCATTTTCATTTCTAGAGAATAACATGAAATTAAATTGGGTCTAATGTCCTACTTTTATTCACTGTCTAGGGTTACGAGGACAGATTTACGTCCTGTAGTGAAAACAAGATAGGAAGCTGACAGTTTTAATATTAAACATCTAGGTACTTGGATATTACTTTTCTCCCATATACAATCTAGACTTACAGATTCTAGACATACACATACACTTATATGTATAGACTGTAGACACTACACATACACTTATATGTATAGACTCTACACATACACTTACATGTATAGACTCTACACTTACATGTATAGACTCTACACTTACATGTATAGACTCTACACTTATACAAATATGTATAGACTCCACACATGCACTTACCACTTACATGTATAGACTCTACTTCAGTGATTCTCAACACAAGATCTTCTTATATTGTGCCGCGAAATTTTGAACGGCACATTAAGAAAATGCGAAAAACCAGTGATCCCAATTTCTTTTTAGTTTGAGTCATTCTATGTGTCTATGACAGTCTCTGTATACGATTGAAATGCCGTCTGACTTACCATGTTTTTATTTTGTAAAACTCAAATATTTTTCATATATATTTAGCCAGGTGTGTCGCTATTTTTTCATGTGTTCCAATCTTGAGAGCCACTGCTCTACATTTATAGACTGTAGACACTCTACACATACACTTACATGTATAAAATCTACATTTAGAGACTCTAGACTCACATGTATAGACTCTACACTTACAGACTTTGGACTCCAACACATACACTAACATGTATAGACTATATATTTTAGACTGTAGAATCTACACAGACTCGACACATATTGATCCTATACTTCATGTACCGGTATAGCCTCAGGTCGAACGGAAATGAAAGATAACGTCGGTGAAGTGTCAAAAGGGGGTATCTAAGAATTTCTAAAGATTAAGAAATAGAACCCTTTTGCATTTCCAAATTTCCACAAATCAAGATACAACATTTGGACACATGATACCCAGAACAGTTCTAATTGGCGTAGAGATATACAGCTTAGACAGAAATATGCATATTAATTGGGAGATTTTAAAAATGCAAAAATAGTGTATTTGACAAATTTCCTGAGATACACCCTTTTGACACTTCACCGTCAATAAAGCCTTGCGACTGTAAGCTGATGAGTTAACAAGGTTGTTTAAATCATACTATATGATAGTTATTATACATACAGAGTCTATAAAACTTACCCGTCGTCTTTCAGATTTAGTAAACTCGGCTAATGCGGAAGCAGTACTAGGTGTTCTGTAATAATAATAATAGCGGATTAATTATTCAAGAGAAACTGAAAACATCAGACTTTGATAGTTGAATTTTTTAAATTTTATCTTTGTACACTATTCTATTTAAACGTAAAGAGCTTGGGGGTAAAGGAAGGTAACCATGCTGTATCAGTAGTAATGGTGTCATGCTTTGAGTCAATCTTGGTTCCCAGAGAAGTTTACCAATTGTGTCGGCCATGTCGGCCATTTTGGAAGTCACGTGATGTATCCTTCTGCCAGTCGCTTCACAAAGATCCAAGATGGCAGCTCAAACTCGCGTTTCTTCAGACAGTTTGCGTATTTTATGCTTATAGTTCAATCAAATTGCGCGCTAAAAATAGTTCCAGGTAAATCATCAAATTGGCTGTTTTCGAATGAACTTTTGATGTTAAAATGTCGAAAATGTTTCACGGATCATTAATACGTAATTCATGCGACGAACTGATGCCTAATTGTCAAGAAATCATCAGCATTTCATTCAAACAAATCCAGCCAATCAGAAGCCACTGGGGGAGGAGCTTAAGAACTGAATTCTGACTGAAACATGGCTTCCGTGATTCCCCATAGAGAAACGAACGATAAACTTCTCTCTGAGAGCTGAGACTGGCTTTAAGTATAACCCTCAGTGATGTACATAACTGATACCATGCAACAAAAATATCTTAAGTCTTGAGCCCTAAATTCAAATAAAGTGAAATGGACTAATGAAAATGAGAATATTCCATGCAGCAGTTCTGCCTGCTCTTCATAGCATTTCAACTGGCAAATGTTCTTTTACATGCACGACAATGTGTACACAGAACTGCACGACACACAGGAAAATCCTGAGGATCCACTCAACACAAACTAGCTCATTTTGGGACTAACATATGGTTCAATTTTATTTCAATAATTCACATGCACGTAGGGATCTTTAGCAGTGGGAGGAAACCGGAGGACCTGGAGAAAACTCACGAGGTTGGACAGGCGACCCCACTCCTTGTCACGTACAACCAGGGATTCGAAACCACGCCAGTTGACTCAATGACAGGCTTTATGATACAGCGCGCACGTGCTAACCATTCGGCCATCCAACCCCCCTTAAGAGAAAGAGAGAGGAATGGGGTTTAACATCCACTCAACACAAACTAGCTCATTTTGGTACTAACATATGGTTCAATTTTATTTCAATAATTCACTTGCACGTAGGGGCCTTTAGCAGTGGGAGGAAACCCAAAGAGGTTGGAACACCATGATCAAAACCCTGACCTGGTTAGTGATCAAGCGCCTTTCTCACTGAGCCACCGTGGCCCCCTAGATTCTAGTAACTGTAATGAGAGAAGTAATTTGATATTAGTCACCTCATATGAGTTAAAATGGCTTCATTTCCTACACTAGACTGTCGACTGTGTGTCATAGAACCATAACCGGATCCTCGCGATTGCTCACTAACATAGCTTGAACTTCTAGAATGAGTTTTTTCAAGTTCTTTACCACTGTCATTATCGGCTAAATCTAGAAAAAAAAAGAAAAAAACAAATATGGAAAGTTCCAAAAAAGAATTAATTAAAATATGTTAAAATAAATAAAATAATAATAAGTCCATTTAAATCGCGCTAATTCCACATATAGTCGTGTTCATATCGCTACAAAAACACACAAACACTCTTGCAAATATTTCTCAAATAAGTATCTTTTCAATCTGGATTTAAAGGAGTCTAATGGCAGAATGGCTCGAAGATTTTCAGATAGCGAGTTCCACAAATTGGCAGCAACAACACCAAATGAGCAAACTCCAAAGGACTCGGAGCTGAGTTTATATTTTGAGACAACAAATTTCTATAAAAGATCTTTAAAAAATTTTAACATCAATCACAAATAATCAATATTTCTAATTTAAGGAAAAAATTCCTAACAAAAGAATACAAATTGTACATTGGGAATCTAGTTTAGGATTATTTCCCCTGATTTCATGACACATAATATACTTTCATCTATTTATAACAATTCTACTTTTTCCCTTTTTTGCACAGTTTGCATGTAAATTCTTGTAGACTTTTTGGTCTAGAATTCACCTTTTCTGACACATTCTGGCCAATAGTCATGATTTTGAGATGGAATGATCCGAAAGTGAACAGTTATGAATTAAAGAAATACCCTATGAAAATGACAGCACCACCTATAGATGCTGTTGACAAGGCATACATGTTGATGGTGAACCCCCTTCAATATTTTTATCAGATAATTTTCACAAGATGGACTCTTTGTGTTACATACTGAGTGAATGGTGAAAGAATTACTAGTCTGAGCCATTTCACAGTTTGTAGTTATCTCCCTTGACACAGTACATGTAGGGGATGCTCAATTGAATGTTCCGGAATTGAATTCCGTGAAAACCTAAAATAGTCACAATCAAGTGAAAATGGGGATTTGGGCCTAGAACACATGCATCCGACTGAATAAGAAAATATCTCAACCAACCATGACAGCTAAAACATATTTGTTGTGTTTAATTATGTCACGATTCTATTCACACCACATCAGTTGCCGGGACTGACGGAACTGTGACAGGACTGAATTCAGCGTCACACGATTGCAATTCCATCAATTCGGAACGTTCCAGACTGACAATGAGCATCCACTTATTCTGATAGACTTTGGGGATGCTCGACTGTCAGTCCAGAATGTTTCGAATTGACGGAATTGCTAGCATGTGACGCCAGTCCTTCACGTTTAAGGGGAGCTTTCGCTCCTGCTCCTCTCGACGCACATCGGCTTTCCTTCGAAGGAATCATTAAAGACTCCCGCAAATTAGCTAAATCGCTCTCCTAAATATTGAGATTAATAAACTACTTTCAGTTTTTGTTTACTTTTAAACTGCATATATTCAAGGTATCAGGAGCTTTTTATGGCTCCCGCACAATTTTCTAAACATGAAGGACTGTGACGCGGCATTCAGTCTTGTTACAGTTCTCTCAGTCTCGACAACGGAGGTGGTGTGAGTAGAATCGTGACAACGGAGGTAGTGTGAGTAGAATCGTGACAACGGAGGTAGTGTGAGTAGAATCGTGACAACGGAGGTAGTGTGAGTAGAATCGTGACGTAATTAAACCTAATGAATATGTTTCAGCTGTCATGGTTGGTTGAAATATTTTCTCATGCAGTCAGCGCATTTTTTCTAGCCCAAAATCCCATTTTCACTCCATCGTCACTATTTTTGGGTTTGACAGAATTCAATTCCGGAACGTTCAATCGAGCATCCCCTTAAGAGTTCGTTTTTTTTTAATCAACATCATAAAATGGGAATCTGTGGCATGAAACAAAAGTAAAAAGCGTGACAGTTTAATAACTTCATTCTTTGGGGAGCATAAAGCAAAGGACAATAAATGGCTGCCTTACATGATTAGATAAGAGGATTCTGGGTATGGCTTGAACTAAAATAACGGAATGCACAAGCAGACTTTAAGACAGTCATTCTCAACCAGTGTGCTGCAAGATCTACCTAGGTGTACCGCGAAATTTTTGACGGCACACTAAGAAAATTTCTCACTAAAGAAGCCAGCTATTTGACTGATGAAATTCGAAACACTGCAGTAAAGTAAGTTCATAGCTGTGTTTGTCTTTATTTAGTTTGAGTCATTTTATGTGTTTATGACTAGTCTGTGTCTACAGTTGTATGCCGTCTATGACTTGCCATGTTTTTATTTTACAAAATTGAAATACTTTTCATATATATTTAGCCAGGTGTGCCGCTATTTTTTCATGTGTTCCAAGGTGTGCCGTTGGCAGTAAAAGGTTGAGATCCACTGCTTTAAGAAGTAAGAACAATCAGAAATAAAAAGATATCAAAGATCTTTACATTACTTGTTAAATACATAAATATCTAAAAACTATGTTGGTAAATACGTAAATATCTAAAAACTATGTTTATAACAAGACTAAAAGTCATTTATTATTAATAATCAAGCTTATGTAGATTTGAAACCCCCCGTACTATAATATAATAACTTTTATATTCATATAACCTACCCATAGGCGTAGAGTTAGAATGGGTAGAATGTGTTTTTTCTTTACGCGTGAGGCTGCCAAAGCCACTACTATTAGACGCCATACTACCTTCGCTACAGTCTTCAACGGATCGTAATTCCATAGGTACATCGTTTAATTCTCCCTCGATACATGTGGGTAATACCTGATGGGTAGGCCTGAAATTAGACAATAAAATTGTTTTAAAACTTTTATATGTATAACAAAAATAGCATTAATAAATTGATGAATTTTACATACAATACATGTATATACCAAATATCGGCCAATAGCTAATTTAGTTAAATACTGACAATATATACCAAATATCAGCTGATAGATAATTTAGTTAAATACTGACAATACTGACAATATATACCAAATATCGGCCAATAGCTAATTTTGTTAAATACTGACAATATATACCAAATATCGGCCAATATAGCTAATTTAGTTAAATACTGACAATATATACCAAATATCAGCCAATAGCTAATTCTGTTAAATACTGACAATATATACCAAATATCAGCCAATAGCTAATTCAGTTAAATACTGACAATACACTGTATATACCAAATATCAGCCAATAGCTAATTTAGTTAAATACTGACAATATATACCAAATATCAGCCAATACATGTAGCTAATTCAGTTAAATACTGACAATACACTGTATGTACCAAATATCGGCCAATAGCTAATTTAGTTAAATACTGACAATATATACCAAATATCAGCCAATATAGCTAATTTAGTTAAATACTGACAATATATACCAAATATCGGCCAATAGCTTATTTTGTTAAATACTGACAATCACCCGACATGTCAATCGTTAACAAGTAAATGTAAATGAAATGAAATGGGGTTTAACGTCCTACTGGGCTAACGAAGCAGCCATACGGCATACACCCAATCTGATTAAAATATAGATCTTTATTTCGTTCCGTTTTTTTATACTTTCGATGGCCTACACTACATGAAGATATGATCAGTTGTACTGGAAGGTCGCGCCTGGGGTCATATGAGCGGCTTCTGACTGTAAGATTTCAGCCATGATTAATCACTCAGAGTTGACCTTTCCAGTGGTTTACCCACAGTTCCATGCACCACACGCGAAAGCTTCAACCAGAAAGCAATTAAAGTAACATAACAACTCTTCCAGATTCTTGTGTTGTAAAGACAAGGAAAATGAAACAAAATAGGATCTGTGTTTTAATCAGATTGGTAAATTACCATACTTTTTTTTAACATTCAATGGTAAAATTTATGAGCAAGGGAAATTACACCGTTCATTCTTATGACAATAGGAGTTTGGTCATTAACCATCCTTTATCACCTAATAATACATTCTACAGTAGATATTGCTTGTGTGATAAATTTCATAATCTACTGCAATATATTGCTTTACATGAATTTGACTGGGCAGTTAAAAAGAAACTACTTTTTTTATTTTCAAAGAACAGTTCATTTTTTATTAAAAGTAACTTCTTTTTTTTTTATTATTAAAAATGAACTATTTTTATTTAATTGACCTTGATGGAAACCCTGGGTCAATATAAAGGACTTTGCAATGGTTGAATTGCTGTCAAAAAATGATGTATTACTACGCCGTAATGTTATCAGGTTCAGTAAAAGTGAAATCTATAGCAAATAATTATATTTATTTATTTGTGCATGTAAGAAAGGATTGAGTGATAAATAAAATCTCCTACTGGTCTTTTTTTATATCAAAAAATATCAACACTAGAGCCTCGTTTTTTTTTTTTACTTTATTGACTTGTGTTGATATTTTTTGATATCAAAAAAGACAAGTAGGAGATTCTCTATAGTTAAATTTGTTTCCATGGAAACACAAAACTGATTTAATCTGAGAGATTTCTAACTGCCAGTAGCAAAAAGCTCAACTGTAATAGGATGATGTATTTACAAAATGTCTTGATTCGTTTATGATATATGCTCTGGACAAACCACAGGAGGGAAAGCCATACCGACCCCATTTTAATACCCAATTCCTACCCCGCCCCATTACTTCTACGCAGTTTAATAAAAAACTATGAAAGCTTCAAAATAATTCATCCATAACTTTGTCCTGTAATGTGTTTACAAATAATGTGAAGAGAGAAAGGGGCATTGGAGCAGAGAGATAAAATGATTTAAAACATAATCTAACTCTATGATTTATTGAAAGAATATGGAAGTATAAAGATCAACTGATATGAAATTTAACCTAACTTTAGTTATTGAAAGTAACTCATGGGTATAATTTATACTGGTGATGCTTATAAAACTATTAGTAATGCTTGATAGATATTCATTAACTGAAGTTTGTTGAATTCAATTTCAATGTTAACCTACATTATAAATGAAATAATTTCCTCCTTTCCTGCATGTTGAGATTTAAGTTCACTCAACACAAAACAGGTCATTTCGTGACTAACATATGGTTTAATTTATTTCAATAATTAGCTAGCGTGTAGGGGTATTTAGCAGTGGGAGGAAACTGGAGGACCCAGAGAAAACCCATGAGGTTGGACAGGCTACCCTACTCCTTGTCACATACAAGCGGGAAATCGAAACCACGCCACTTGACTCAGTGACAGACCTTATGATCAAAAGTACACTTCATCAAATCCCAACTATACTAATGAAGATGGGAACAGGCTATGCTGTGTGCATTGTGGGGAATTTTGCCTTAACAGTGGCACTTTCACCCACTCTTCATTACATCACAACTAGACTAATGAGAATGTGAGTACGCCATTCCATGTGCTTTGTGGGGAATTTCGCCTTGATAGCAGCGTTTTCACCCACTCTTCATCACATCCCAACTAGACTAATGAAGACAGGAATAAGCCATGTTGTATGCTTTGTGGAGAATTTTGCCTTAACAGTGGTATTTCCACCATCATCAAATCCAAACTATAAAGGGTTCTTTAACGTACACAGGATAATAACTTACACTTTAAATACTGGATCACCAGATATCAGTGACATTTCTACTGTTATTTTTATATTGGAGTTATCTTGCCTGTGTTTGGTATCATAGCCTTCTAATAAATATCTCCGTGATTGAGCTCCGGATCCAGCAAACTCTGCTAAATTTATATCGGCAAATCCTAGTTTATGATGTGACCGACCACCTTTTAGTTCCTGTAATAAACAAGAAATAAAGAATACAAGTTCTGTTATACAGGTTACTGCTGGTGGCTGGCTATAGGGTTATATTCCACTTGGTAGCAGAGGGTGCTGGGTGGCTTGGTGTTATACAAGTTCTATCATTACTGCTGGTGGCTATAGGGTTATATTCTATTCGGTAGCAGGGGATGTGGGGTATAGTTAAATTTTATTTCAATAAATCGCTTGCACGTAGCGGTCTTTAGCAGTGAGAGGAAACCAGAGGACCTGGACAGGCAAACCTACACATTGTCACGTGCAACCAAGGAATCAAAACCTTCTAAATTAACAAATAATGAACTTACTCTTCTAACCGACACACGGCATACACATGGTTCTAATACTCCTGTATTTACATTAGCTGTCATCTTACAGGCAAATTCAAACTTTGAATTCCAATCCACTCGATTATTCCGCACCTCCTCCCTGAAACACAAAAAAATTCATTTTAATGAAATGAAATGAAATGGGGTTTAATGTCCTGAACTTTCTCGGACAATGCAGGGATAATTCAGTTTAAACATTTCGTGTTCAAATATACATTCATAGAACTTTAATCTTGTATACTCATTAAGGGTTTTGTCGTTCAATAAGTGAACTTTAGATCATAAGGTTTGAGGAGAAATGGGGTTTAACGTCTACTCGATACAAACTAAGTCATTTTGGGACTAACATATGGTTCAATTTTATTTCAATAATTTGCTTGTGTGTAGGGTTCTTTAGCCGTGGGAGGAAACCCGAGGACCTGGAGGAAACTCACGAGGTTGGACAGGCTACCCTTCTCCTTGTCACATACACCCAGGAACCTGTAAACCATGCCAGCTGACTTAATGACAGAGCTAACCATACGCCACTAAGTCCCCTCCACCCCCATAAGGTTTGTCATTGAGTCATGTGATATGATTTCGATCAGAAGCTTGTACATGACAAGCCCAACCTACTGAGTTTTTTTAAGGGTCCTCTGATTTTCTCCCACTGACCAATTAAAATAAAATTAAACCATATGCTAGTCACGAAATGGCCTAGTTGAGTCGAATGGATGTTAAACTCCATCTAGTTTGTGACAATTAGCCCCGATTCACTCTCCATAATCATTGTGTATAACTAGGTAGCTCTTTACACCCAATTCATGTAATAAAACAATTTCACAGTTGATAAACACATTAATATTATAGCCATTAATAAACTCTTTGATCAATTCATCAGATAACAATATAGATATATATATACAGTATATACCACTTTGATATACAAAACCTAATATAACACATACAGAAATCAACATATACAGTTAAAACGTTATGATATTAATGTGACCATAAAGGGTCTACATCAATTCGCTTTGATATTAAAGCGACTGAGGATCAGTTGAGTGACTTTGAATTCCTTGCAAAGTACAATATTATGATAATTGAATCTCTAAAAGGATTAATTATCGGTCCAAAATTTCTGTTAAGTATTCACAAAGATATGATGATTTGAAGATTTATCGATATTTCACATTCTCTGCAGACGATATAACAATGCCAGCTACACGTTTAAAGATATATTATGTGAGATTCGATAACGAGTTGGCAGTTCTCACTATAATAATTAAAAACTAGATAACGTAAAGGCAATTTGCTGAAAATTTCATTCAAATTGATCCACTATGAACCGAGAACTAAGCGAATAAAATTTCTGCCTAGCCTCGGTCATCATTACTAAAGTCAGTACATAAAACAACATAGTCTCGATTATCCATTTAATCGTTTAATCGAGAAGGAAAGTTATGCAGTAAATCGGATCACAATTCACTTAAGATCGCAGGCTAGTGATGCCATCTAGAGTTGATTATGGTCTGGATAAGTTAATTAATGTGTAATTAATAATTTAGATAACATTTAAGGCCTAAAGAAAGACCTGCAATAGACAGGTTTAGCTCTTGCATAATGTATGTTTAAATGTTAGATAAAATCTCTTAAAGGGCCACTTTTTAATCTGATTGAATCAAACTAGGGAGATTATCTATATATCCATATTTAGGTTTTGTTTTCTCAATAAAATGTTGAAAAATTAATTTCAGTACATTTTAAGAGTGGATTTAGCCATGGAAAATTTGATTTTTAAAAAAAAAATAATAAAAAAAATGTAATGCCGATGAGCGGCTTTAATAGTAAGTGCAGGGGGACTGCACCACACATATTTTACACAAAACAAAAGAAATCTACGAACAAGACACAATGTGCAGCAATCACAAACAAACCTACATATCAAATTAAGTAAATTGATACAGACTTCACTCAAAATTGAACAAAAACAATCAGGAATACAACTCAGAGAAAAACATTGTGTAATACCAGCATGAGTCATGATCTGCTATATGCCACATAAAATATTAATGTAAGCATATTGAAGTATAAAATTACCTACACAAGTAACCATGTCACCCACTGAATGGCCGAATGGTTAGCATGTGTGCGCGCTGTATCATAAAGCCTGTCATTGAGTCAACTGGCGTGGTTTCCAATCCCCGGTTGTACGTGACAAGGAGTAGGGCAGCCTGTCCAACCTCGTGGGTTTTCTCCAGGTCCTCCGGTTTTCTCCAGGTCCTCCGGTTTCATCCTACTGCTAAAGACCCCTAAGCGCATGAGAATTATTGAAATAAAATTAAATCATATGTTAGTCCCAAAATGACCTAGTTTGTGTCGAGTGGACATTAAACCCCATTTCTCTCTCTCGCTTCTTTGATGCAACGTAGATAATACATGTATAATTGGATGAATAAACAAGAGTATCAAATTTTGATGATTTGTCCTATACAGAATTATATACTGTTCAGACGCTTGTTTTTAAACCATTTCAAAATCGCCTGAGTTTTTAAGACAGGGTCGTGTTGCGTTCACAAGTACTATAAGCCAAACCAGTTTAACTATTCTGACCTCTTCGGTCGGAAGTTAAAGTTAACTATGCATGGGCAGCTTCATATTCTTTATTCGGTTCTGGTACGCTTTCAATAACACTATGGCACTGCATGAAGCAACCTTTTTCACAGGAATGTAACTTACCGCGTACTGTACATGTCCAAAGCGAGCTGCAACCAGGGTTTTTAAGCCAACCCATTCAGACGGACGGCCCAAATGAACCAGTTTAAAATAAAAAGCCTGATTGAACACAGGTCGCGAGCTGGGTTTTTTAAACTGGTTTATTTGTGCCACATTTGCGTTCAGACGACAATGTTAAACTGGTTTAACGATCCCAGTGGTTTTTAAATTAGTTCAACTTAAAGGAGGTAAATGGCTAATATTTGGGACCTAGAAATTGACTCAAATGGGTCGAAACGCATATAATTATGTATTATGAATGCATATAATCTGATTTATATTCCTTCGGTACTGTTTTTTCTGCAATTTCTAATCAGGTATTTTCGGCGAAATAAGTCAGAAGTCTCAATCAAATGGCAATCTCTAGATCTGGTTATTCCTGTCTACACTGATAGTATATATTGCGCATGCTCTCCAGATAAGAATATAGCATCTTTGTTTGACATGACTTGTGGAATATGTCTAGCCTCGTTCCTTATTACAAATGGCGCTGAGACGCATTATGGTAAACGATTCGTGTACCAATGGTAAAATGATTATTTTGTCTTAAATATTGGATATCAGAAGCCCATCTTTTCCGGCTAAGATCACAACATCAATGTTGATTTAAATTGACAAATAATTTGTGTTTTCAATGTCGAAGACTTTGGATGATACTGAGTTAGAGACTTAGCTACTTTAAGCATCTGAACAGGTTATTAGTTTTCAATATGCAGATGTTTAGAAGAGTAATCAGATAGAGTAACACATTAACACTGTAACCTACTGATGAAGGATGAGATACAGACAGACAAACAATAATCATTGTCAATCAACCATTATACAATTATATTGGTATTAAGGTTAGATGGGGGGGTTGGATGGCCGAGTGGTTAGCACATGTGTGCTGTATCATAAGGCCTGTCATTGAGTCAACTGGCGTGGTTTTGAATCCCCGGTTGTAGGTGACAAGGAGTAGGGTCGCCTGGCCAATCTCGTGGGTTTTCTCCTGGTCCTCCGGTTTCCTCCCACTGCTAAAGACCCCTACGCGCAAGCAAAATATTGAAATAAAATTAAACCATATGTTAGTCCCGAAATGACCAAGTTTGTGTCGAGTGGACATTAAACCCCATTTCACTCTCTCTCTTCATAACCTAACCAACAGACCATAAAACCTCTGGTCGAGGTCAACTTTTTACACATCATGGTTATCACTACCTTTGTAGCTTAATGTCTGCTTCCACAAAAATAATATGCAGACAAGTAACTTTATCAAGAAATAAAATCAACCAGTAATTTATTTTGAAAATTCAAATTTTAAAAAATAACTAAAGATCAAAGATACATTATGGGAGATTAGAAAAAGAGCTGGCAGTTCTCACTATAATAGTTAAAAACTAGATAATGTAAAGGAAATTTGCTGAAAATTTCAGTCAAATTGATCTTCTATGAACCGAGAATTTAGCCATTGAAATAAATTACTAAAGATTAATCTTGTTAAAATTACCTAATACATGTAGATAGATATCTACAATTATAGACACAACATATAATTCATTTGTCAGGGATTATTAATTAATGAATTATTAATAACAATGTTGTCTGAAAAGATATGATATAACTAAAAAATAATCTTCTGATACTATTCTCCCTTTAAGATTAAATTACAAAGTTAATGAGGATGACCTTATCAATTCGTAAAAACATCAAAATATTTGGCCAGGAAAATGTTTAAGTAAAAAACAATCCCACAAAGAATAGATGTTAATGTAAATTTTCTTCCATTTTATGTATATATACATGTATAATATTTTTTATTATGTTTCTATTATATTTTTTTTTTCTGGTGACGTGCAATCATGTCATAACCTTTATTAAAATGTACATGTATTTTTTAAAAACAAAATGTGAACTCTAGATATAAATCAAAATGTCAAACTAAGGTCATACAGTTGTACATGTATATTCTTCACCTACATCCACAGGTTCGATTTTAACCTTGTATCATAAGGTCTGTCATTGAGTCAACAGGCATGGTTTTGATTCCCTGTTTGTACATGATAAGGAGTAGGGTCGACTGTCCAGCCTCATGGGTTTTCTCCGGTTTCCCCCCACTGCTAAAGACCCCTACACGCATGCAAATTATTGAAATAAAATTGAACCATATGTTAGTCTTGAAATGTCCTGGTTTGTGTCGAGTGGACGTTAAACCCCATTTTTCTCTCTCTAAATTTCAGCACCTTGGAACCTTGAAATAGCCAAAAATGGTTCAAAAAGCACATATTAATGTAATATGAATGTATGTAAAGTGATTTATATTCAATTTTCGAAACAACTATTGTAATTTCTAATCAATTATGTTTG